CAAGCCCTGCGGCCACCAGAGCCAGGAAATCAAGAGCTATCCCCTAAGCAGCAGCCACAAAAACAAGGTCACCAGACGTAAAACCAGGGCACCGGACATGTGTTGAAGTCCTGCTGTGGGAGATGCTGGTGCTCTGGAGTGCAGCAGAGGGAGGGTGTGAAGATCTGGTACCAGGAGTAGAGTACAAAGATGGCACTTATGAAAAAAGAACAAGAAAAGAAAAATAAAAAGAAGAGAAATTTAAAAAGAAAGAGAAAGATGGCCCTTACCTGCTTTAGCAAAGCAGATGGAGGCAAGGAGATGGCACTGGCCAGACTCCATCCCCAGAGAGTATTGAAGCAGGCTCTGCCCCTCAGACCTGTGCTTTAAAATTAGCAAACGAGTCTCTTTCAAAAGACTGCTTCTGTGCTGAGGGTAAGTCTGGACACAAGCCCTTTAATAGCTGCTCCTCAGCCCTGGCTGGTAGCTTGGTTATTTGGACATCATCCTGTACTCCAAAAGGCTATGGGTTTAATTCCTGGTCAGGACACATACACAATTTGTAGCTTTGGGCATGTACAGGAGGCAACCCATCCATGTTTCTCCCTTTCTCTATCTCTCCCTCTTTCTGAAATCAATTTTTTTTTTTTAAAAAAAAGAACACATATCCTTAGGCGAGGACTAAAACAAAAAGAGAGCTGTTCCTCAGTTTGCCATAGCCCATGGGTCTCCTGGGCATGAGTCCCAGTGGTCTTCAGAGCCACGTGTTTTGGGGGCTCATCTCTTGGCGCTGGTCTTAAAAGTTGGAGTGTGAACCTCTTGCTCCTCAGGAAGAAGCTCCAGGTCTTGAGTTGTCTCCCAACTGTGAATCATTGCACTGGGTGGTTAATGGCCTTTTCTACCTGCTTCCGTGTGGTTTTCATTTTGTTTGGTCAATGTGAAAGGGTTGCTCTGCCAGTTTTTAGGGTTTTGCTTTTAGAGGAAATCGTTACCGCTGTAGCTGTAGCACTGGTGGAGGTGGGTTCATCATTTTCCCCCCAGAAAGTAAGTGCACTTAGAGTGATGCAGGTTTTATGTCTCATTATCTGTAGCCTTGGGCAAAGAACTAACCTTATTGGCCTACATTTTGCTTATCCACAAAATGAGAATAATAATAACTTCTTTGTAATTCTTGCAAGGAGTCACAGATAAGGTTTCTAAGTCACTTAGCCCCACACTTGACAAAGAGAGCTCCTGGATAAGTCATTATGATTGCTTAAGACTATCAATCACTTTCAAATATTTTTAAGTAGCATGTGCAAATTGCATCCACTGATAGGATATGCAGGATTCCTGCGGATCTTTACTGGCATTATTCTATTCGCCCAATTTGATGTAAAAATGTATTTGGAAAAGGTGCAATTGCATGGAGAAGATTATCTTTGATATTTTGGAGGGAATTCTTTTCTTTCTCATGTGTGTGTCTCCTTTTTAGAATCTAAATGTTTCATCGTTAAATCATACATGTTAATCTTAAAAAATGAGAGGAATTGAACAATTTAATGAGAAAACTTTAAAAAGATTATTTGGATGTGTTGCCTCCAGTCAGGGAATGGAACCCCAGCAGAAGGGGGAAGAGTGGGGAGAAGGGAAGTGGTTAACTGATTAACCTGAGAATTTATATGTATAAATGTATGGCCCAGGGACACAGACCATAGAATGGTGAAAGCATGGGAGGGGCAGGTGCAGTGTAGAGGAGGTCAATGAGAAAAAAGCAACAAACAAACAAAGGCAACATCTATAATACTTTCAACAATACAGATAAATTTAAAACAAATAAATAAAAAGGAAAAAAATTGAAGTGAAAAAAAATGGGGAGGTAGATTCAATAGATCTCTACATTGTTCATCACAAAATAAATATATTGTTAAAACACAGGAGAGGGATTACACAACTTTTCAATTATGGGATCTAGTGAGTCTGTTTCCTTCCTTCCCAGTCAGGCCTCTGTGCTGAAACCCCCACTCCTTTGATGTGGTGTCATTCTCAGACCCTTGATCCAGTCTTGGCTCTAAAGAACATCCATCTTTAGTCTTCAAGTTGTGCTGAGAGCCTTCATTATGGTGCTTTCAATATTACTTTTGCTTTAGCTACATTTTCTGATTTGAGAGGCTTGCCTTTGCTTGATCTTCAGAAAACCTGCCTTTTCCCTTACCCAACGTGACTTTTTATTAACAGCTGTGCAATCTTGATTGCTTTTGCCCTTTTGATGCAGTTCTTTGATCATCCAAGTCTAAAACTCAAAATTGCCTCTTTACATTCATGAATCAGGCAATGCATTCTTCCCGGTATTTCTTCTAACTTCCACCATCTCCTTCCTTCCAATTATACTTGGAACAGCCACATGTAGATTTAGCCTTTCTTAACCATATTATTTCCTATTTATGTTGTCCTGAGTAAAGGAAACAACTGAGACCCTTTCTTGACCCACCCAACCCCCATCCAGGGCTCCCACTAAGGAAGGTGTACAGTAAAGATAGCGACACCTGAGAACAGTGCTCATCTTGCTCTATCTTTTATGTTCAGAGATTGACCTGCCAGTGTATATCCCATCTTGCAGGGGCTGGACTATCCAGAAACCTCAATTGGAACCTACTACTTGCTTTTCCTCATCAGGGAAGGGGGATGAGAGTTTCCAGAATAGCAGATTTCATGGTATAGTAACCTTATTTCCTTCTACCCCCTGGGGGAAGGCAGATGTCCAGCTGGGTTTTACCAACAGAAATTATAAAACCCTAAGAAAAAGCCTGTGAAGTTTGGCAGTGACTCAGCAACCTGGGGCAAGCCCCCATCTTTCACACCCAATGCCCTGAAGGTCTAAAGAACATCTCTTGGAAAGTGGGAGTAAAGAGGGGTATGCCAAGATTCTCCCTGTGGATGATGCCAAGGTCATCCTGGGGGAGACGGCATACACCATTGGTGGGGAACTCAGAGGAGATCCAATGGCTCTTACCACAAGCAATAAAACAGCCCCACAGTGTTGTTTTAAAATAACTGTCTGGGAGCTACAACTATCCGGTAGCTTGAATGTTCACCATCAATGAGAAGACTGGGGAAGCTTTGGAGTTTAACAAATGAATGGTGAGTGAGATGACATCAAGGTGGGAGGAAAAGAGGGAGGAAAGCAGATGGGGAGATTAGAAAAGGGAGATGGAAGAGAGGGGAGCAGGCTGCACAGCGGTAGGAAAGGTCAGATGTGTGTGGAGGGGAGATGTTTAACCTGACATGACAGTTAACAATTTAATAACCAGATTAGACAAGAGTCACTGAACTGGACTAAAATCTCCAAATGGGACTCACATTCCATTATGGGGCAAGATTAAGTTTTCTCTCCCTCCTCCCCATCCAGTGAGTGGAAATGGGGTCCAGAGTTATTAGAAGATATAAAGCCATTCGGTTTGCACCTCACTGAGCCAAAACTCCTCCATCAAACCAGCTACACATAAAATCCCAGACTTTCTGAGTTGGCTAGACTCTCAGACACAGGGATGGTTTTTTCCTTGCCCGTTCCTCCTCCTGGCACCTGCCCCTCTGCCTCTACATATTAGAGATGATGAAAGAGGGAGGTTTCCTAACTTCATTTCAGCGTTCAAATAAAACACTCTAATTTCTGACCCAGCCAATTTTCCTTTTCAGCTTTTTTCATTTAAGAGGACATTATTATAAGAGAAAAGCTCTTAAGGATGAAGCAGCGGATGGCTGGAAACTAACATTTGTGCGGTGAGGCTGACATACTGCTTAGAGAAAATGACTTGGTAGCCTGATTCATTATTCATTTAGCAAGTGTAATGCAGAGCTTCCTGGGGGGGGACCCCATGGGCTCCAAAGCCATGTTTGAACTTCATCTGGAGAGGCAGCCCGATGTGCTCGCTCAGAGGCAAGCTTTTGACTGATAACCAAAGTTAATGCAGATTTATATGGTGTGTGTTGCTATTTGCCTTCATCCAGCAGGACATTACATATCTGCATCATTTCTGTGTCAATTCCAAAACCCAGCAATGGCTTACTGTACATGGCAAGACCCCCTTCTTCAAGTGGCTTCTTCTGTCAAGATTCCTCTGGGCTTTTTGCAAATGATCCGTGATTCTGGCCAAGCTCTGGCATACTTCATTTCTCAGAAGCATACTTCTTAGAGCATTAAGCTGAGTGTGTGTGTGTGTGTATGCATGTGTGTGTGTGTGTGTGTGTGTGTGTGTGTGTGTGTGTGTGTGTTACACACCCTCAGTGACAATTCTTATATGTGCCCCTGAAGGAAAATCAGAATGGTAGGCTCTCAGAGAGCAGGCATGAATAGTTTAAAATTTCTTCTGAGGGGATCATGACAGCCCCTTCTTTACTTAAAAATGGTTTTAAAAAGTTGTCATTTTGTTCCTTAATAGGCCTGTCTCACTTTGTAGCTTATTAGTTCCAGTTTTATTGATATTATAAGAGGTGTTTTTTTAGCAGTTAGTGCAATAGTCACATACATGGGGAAAAGGAACTAATATTTGGCCTTAGTAAGAGAGAATAAAAAAATTAAAGGATAGAAAATGAGAAAGACAAGAAATGTTTTTCAAAAATATTTAGATGAGAAGTGGAATGGAAATAGGACAAAGAGAGTTGAAAGGGTGTGTGTGTGTGTGTGTGTGTGTGATCAAGAAATACCATAAGGTGAAATAACCACATTGTTCCAAGATGGAATTAACCTGGTCACTAAGATAAAAGAAAGAGGAAAATACCAGTGGAAGTTCTGCTTGAAGGAGGAAGAAAACCAAGAAATGAAGTGATGACAATCAAATAATTCCCTACCCCATCCAGCAGATGGTGCTATGTGCCCAAAACAGCTTTGTTGCTGCTTAGACCAGAGAGGATATAATGTGTAACACATAAATGTAAAATAAATGTGCAATTCTTACTCCACAAAACTCTAGAGTAGTTCAGAAATTAATTTTAAAAAAAACCTTTAACACTATTGTTTTAATGTAAACTTTGAAATAACTTACATTTTCACTTTTGATTCCAAGGGCTGTAGATTGAGGTGATATTTTTCAATATTATTCTCCATATCCATGGCCAACTGGTGACTGCAAATAGAAATAATGTCTCAATATATAAGTCCAGAAAAATAACATTTATAGCAGTAATGCTGCCAATTTATATTTATTTTTTAAAGCAGACATATATTCAATTATTTTCATTTTAATTTATTAACAGAGTCCTAAAAGTTCCTATTGATGGATGATGGCTAAATAACTATAACATAGAAATAAAATGTTGTTTTTCCTGTTACCTTTTCTGTTCTTTTTATTTCAACCACTCAGTCCAACATGCATTTCTAAGGCATGAAAATCATTTCCCTTAAGTGAAGAAAAGGCAGAATTCTGAACCATTGCGGGGGGGGGGGGGAGGAGGGGGAGCAGAGAATAAAAATAACGTTATAAATCCAATGGCAATGTCCAACCAGTAAGTTGTAATGAGAATTTCATTCATCTCCAATGCTGCCACTGCCATTGAATCTTCCCCTTTTCATCTTGTAAGCTTTTCCAAAGCTCCCACTGTGCACAACACATGAATCTCTGCCCTGGAGAAAGGCAGAGGTAGACAGGCAGTGCTCCTAAGGAGCTTATAAGACAACCACTGGGTGCTACAATGGTCAAGGAAGGCTTCACGGAAAAGGTGACACTTCAGCTGGGTTTTGAAGAATGGACAGGAATTAGGTAAATTGCTATGTGAAAGATAGTACATATGAGGAAGACATTATAATAAAGGCGTAGAGGTGAAAAATTCAGGCTAGATAATAAAGATATCTATTTAATGGAAGTGGAGGATAAAAGTAGGAGTGTAGCCGAGACCGGTTTGGCTCAATGGATAGAGCGTCGGCTTGGGGACTGAAGGGTCCCGGGTTCGATTCCAGTCAAGGGCATGTACCTTGGTTGTGGGCATATCCCCAGTACAGGGTGTGCAAGAGGCAGCTGATCGATGACTCTCTCTCATCGATGTTTCTAACTCTTTATCTCTCTCCCTTCCTCTCTGTACAAAATCAATAAAATATATTTTTTTTTAAAAAGTAGGAGTGTAAAAGGAATAAGTTTGGATAAGCAGGAAACTAAGTCATTGACCACATAATGTGTACAGCTGTCATAGACACTTTACATGTATTATTTAATTCTCGCAGTAGCCTACCAGTTGTTATTTTTCCCAAGGTACAGCTGAGAAATCTGAGGTTCAGAGAGTTTAAGTTAAACTTAGAAGAAACCACATGAAAACACAAGTCTCCCTACCACAAAGTACTGCTTAGAGGATTTTAATATCAGATTTCTTAAACAGAATTCTCCTAGCTGTGGTTTTCATAAGTCAAGTATTTGACAGCCCAATCGAATACACATGCATGTGTAAAGATATGTGTGTTTAAAACTGAAACAGAAGTTTAATGAAATATTATTTCTCCAACTACATATGTTATTCTCTGGTATTTTTTAAATTATATTTCAATTTTTTAAAGTCAGTGGTTATCCATCAAATTGATTTAATAAACCATCAATGAGTTTTGATCCGCAGGAAAACATACAGCATTTTAACCAGGATGACATGACAACATGCTGAATGAATATTTAAAGATAGTTTGAAGTGGCAGTGAGCAAGAAGAATAAAAATATATATACATATATAAAGGTATTCAAATTGGCAGGATAATGAGGACTAAAATTATGTTTATAGTAAAGAAAAGAAAAGAAAAAAACATTGTGCTGGAAGCACTATCAGGATAATGTACTTATCTCCCCCTCCTTAGAAAGGAATAAGCAAGGGACGGAGAAAACATGTTAAAGCAGATATAATAACACAAGGCCACTAGGTGGCGCCATCAGCCCAAGATAGCTTTGTAATTACCCAGCTAGGAAGTTGTGGGGCAAGGAAAAATGCACCCCTGTTTGCTCTGTGCTGTTGGTGTTCAGGGTTCCTTATGTATTCCATCCTTATTCTCTCACAAATATGTTGGGTATATTCTGTGCCGGGAATGACGTAAAGCAAGAGGGACACAATGGTGAAAGCACTAGACATGGTCCCTGTTCTTAGGGTTTTACAATCTAGGAGATGAATATTACATAATTATCAATGTGATGGATGTTATTAATGGGACCTAATCAATGGTTGTCTGGCATATAAAGTCTCATTTTTATAATTCTATGTTCTTGTAGGGACAACAGCCTTATAACAAGGGTATTTAAAAGATTTTGTAAATTAACAAATTATTGAATAACAAATAACAAATTATTGAATTGAACAATAGAGGTATAGGTGAGGTTGTGGAGCCTGTAGCAACCAGAGACAAAGCTGAAGTTCTCATAGAGAACATTTTTAATAATGTCAACAAATTTGTTAATTTGGGTTACTATTTATACATCTTCAACACACTATAAACTACAAATACCAGTAGACTTAAATTGGATAATGTTAGAGCATGTTATCAATAATTGCCTGTGGGTGATGACATGATTATATGTCAGGAGAATACACAACTTGCAATCACGCATTTCATACCGAAGACCCAGCCCAATCCAATATTTACAAAAAAAAAAATAGCTGTCTTATATAAGTTAATAAATTATTATAAAAAGCAATAGAGTCATAAGCAGTCTCCTAGTTAATTGCTCTTCTCTGTTGCCTTCAGAGTGTGTGTGTGTGTGGGGGGGTATGTGGTGTGTGTGGTGTGTGTGCGGGCATGTACACAAATACACTCAACTGGCCCTATACATGTTCTCAAGCAGAATGGAGTTACAGCTTCTCCCCCCTTTGCACAGACTTCCTGCCACAAAACCCTGTTGAGCATTCAGAATAAATGTAATGTTCCAAGGGGGAATAACCGATCAAGTGCTATGACACCACTCTCATTTAACTTACGGTCATTTCAAGTAGCTGAGATGATTTACATCAGCACCTAAGTCAGCTACAGCTTTAAGCATTTTATTAAATGCTTAATCGGCTCACTCAAAGTACACCAATTTTTCAATCAAATTTGACAGCTTTCAAGGACACAGCCCTGCCCTCAAAGCAGAACAGGAAAGTCTCCAGAATTCCAGGCAAATGGGTCTAGCTGTTAGGGCAGGCAGCCACTGTTTGTCTTCCCTCCTTCCTGGACAAGTAGAAAGGGGGAGCTTACCCCAAAGGCCTACCTGTTTTGGGAGTAGCTTTAATTCCCATCCCTTGAATTCCTCAATCATGGTTGGAGAAAACAAGCAAACAAAGCAGGCTGGCCATTTCCAGAAGCTTTTTTTTAGCTTTCTCAGGCCTCTAGATCATGAAAGGGAAAGAATAGGGAGCGAGGAAGAGGCAGAAGCCCATATATATAAATATATATATATATATATATATATATATATATATATATATATATGTATGTATACCACTTATTTCATGTATCTTCCTGAGAACAGGGGGATGAGGAAGGTACTCACCCGTGTGGGTGAGAGGTTTAATATAGAGCTGTGGTCAATTAACAGGGGAAAAAACAAAACAAAAAACTTTCGGAGCTCACTTCTTACATTAAAATCAATAATGAAAAACCAGCATAGCCAGATTGAATAGATAAATGAGCTGAAAAGCACAGAGCAAGTGTGTCCTCAGAGAATTAAGCTGCATGAGATTATTGAATGGCCCAACGGATTCTAAAATGCATCTAGACCACTGGTTCTCAACCCCAGCTCCTTATTAGAATCACACACAGGAAGCTTTTAAGAAATACTGATCTCTGGACCTCACCCCCAGAGATTCGAATTCAATTTGTCTAGGTGGGGCTTATGCAGGAGATTCTTATTAAACTCCCTGGGTGATTCTAAGTGCGGCCAGGGTGAAGGACCACTGATCATATCATTACAACACTAATCTCCACTGAAGGAAAAATCTTATTTCTAGTTTAGAAAAAAAAAACAAAACCCAGTTACAATTGCTTACATATAGCTAATGATGGTGGTGGTGAGAAGGGGTGGTATAATTGAACTATGTTACTCTTGTTTATGCATATTAATGAGAACAGACATACCCAGGATACATTAAATCCATAGGTAAGTCAGAAACTTGGTTTGATCCAAGGGCTCAAGCTGTCCTTCAAGTGGGGACAGGGAATCCTTAGAATCATGAAAATGGAATAAACCTGAGAAACTAGCTAGCCCAATTAACTGTCCCCTCCCCCTAGATGGAAAGGGAAGAGGCCACGCTTGTCATACATGTCTCCGTTAATACTCTCAATAGATTGTCAAGCCACTGTTATTATCTTCATTTTTGAAGAGGGGGAAGTGGGCCTCAGGGTGATTAAGTGGTTTTTCCCAACCCACAAAGCTAGGAAAAAGCAGAAAGAGGAATGAAGCTCAAGGTGTTCCATGTCTAGGAATGTTTTCAACAGTATCTCTGATGGATGGTCATTCACACTCTCCTGGGCCCTTCCAGTGTCTATAACAGAGAAGCCCTTTCTGTGGTGCAGGCTGGGATTTCACAAACGCTATCCTTTTTCTGAGTCACAAACTGTGTCTCCATAAATCCTTCTCATTGATCCTTATTTTCTTTCTAGAGTGAGAAGAGCAATTTAGCCCTTCTTTTAAAGGAAAATCCTTTCAAATGTTTAAGGATAGCCATTATGTCTCCTCTGAGATTTATTTTCTCCAGCCACACACCCTCAGCCCCTTGTAGTAGTTTCACATGACTTCAGAATCCTAACAATTTTAATTGCCCTCCTCTGGTACTCTCGGGGATGTTCCTTTAAAATATGTCTTTACCCCTAGCCAGTTTAGCTCAGTGGACAGAGTGTCGGCTCTTGAACTGAAAGGTCCCAGGTTTGATTCTGGTCAAGGACACCTACCTCGGTTGCAGACTAGATGCAGGTCCTGGTTGGGGCATTAGTGGGAGGGAACCAATCGATGTTTCTCTGTCTCTCCCTTCCACTCTTTCTGAAAATCAGTGGGAAAATATCCTCCATTGAGGATTAAAAAAATAAATAAATAAACTATGCCTTTAAAATGTGGTGCCCAGAGCCCAGCGTGACACTCACACGGGCTTGACATTCGGACTTAGCAAGTGGTTGAGAGCAGGGGCTCTGGTGGGATTCAGTCCTGGGTTTGACCCCCATCCTTCCTCACCACTCAGCTGAGCACACTTACACAAGTGCTGAAAGCTCTCTGAGCCTCTTTCCTGGTCTGTAAAAGGGAAATAACAACGCCTTTATCACTGGGCTATCATCAGAGTTCCAGGAGGAAGTATCTGTAAGCACTCACTAGTAGAGAGTACGCTCTAAATATTCAATAAATGATAGCTAATTTTTCTTCTTTTATCTTGACACTGCATGACTACTAAAGAGTTGAATATTGCGGTAATATTTTTAGAAGCCACATACAATCACAGTCTCATGTTAACATCAGATAAAATCTCTAAACATTTACCCACAAACTGAGATCAGAATATATCTCTCACATGCTCTAATTGTATAATCTTTTTAAAAAGCTTAAATGGAAGACTGTATTTTTTACCTCTGATTTAAACTCTTTTTTGCTTTCTTTTCAGCTCAGTTTTGTTCCATTCTGCAGTATTACTTCGAATGTTCATTCTATTAGTTTTAGTGTAAACTGTGTACTTTTTTGCAAATTTATAATCAGCTTCTATACACATCCCTGATTTAAAGCCAAAGACTGGGCAGGTTTAAGTTTCAAGCCTTCAAACATACCACCAGAGGTATCTGCAGGCATCATATTGCTCTGTTAATCAGTATTGCTTGTGTATCATAGCTCAACTAGTCATGAATCTATTGAACTATATCTCAAAAGAGACACATTTCTGAGTCCTGACCACAATGATACATAAGGAACTGCCAAATTACTCATTTAATTTTGCCTTGCCAGTGTTTCTTTTTTTTTTTTTTCATGCAAGCTTTTCAACCTTGCAAATAATTGAATTTCCTTTCGTATTTTTTACTTACTTTTCAAGTAAATATTTTCCATCATTCACTTGTTCTAAAGGATTCTGCAATCTTTTCATTTCTTCCTGTTGGGGGAAAAAAGAAGTGTTTTATACATTGACCCATGTACTTATGGGCAATTACATTTGAAGACAAATAGCAGAAATGAGATAACACACCATTAGATGTTCTGGACTTTGCAATGGATAAGTGCTTAAACTTACAAAACAATTTCCTCTTTGATCAAATTAGAATACGTTACTGCCAGTCAAATTGTATGATTTTTTTTCATCATTAAAGATAATGCTTCCAGTCATTTTTCCAGAGTGAGGACATGTTTACATGGGTCCATCCACTCAAGCTGCGTTGCCATCTGCATTATGTTTGCTGGTTGCTGGGTGAGGGGCTCTAATGATGATGAGCTGGGTTTGGCCACTCAGTAACCATCTACTCTTATCTCCTGGGAACTCTCAGCAACCTCTTCTGTTAGCCCCAGTGCTCAGGCACACACATACACACAGACACAAGCCCACTTCCCTTCCTGAATTTCAGACATTCATAGTCTTTGTAGTCCAATTTTCCTGGCCACAATGATTGGTTCAGGGATGTGATGGAAGTCGTCCCAGGTTCCTGGTGAGACTGCCTTCCCCAGGGCATTTAAAGAAGGCCCATTGGACTCAGTTTTTAGAGTCCTACTCCTTAACTCATCACCACAAACCGCTGAGGTGCCAAGAGAAAGCCCCAATGAGGACTAAATACTCACGTGCCCCTAAAAGGCCCTCAAAGCTAGTCTCAACTTACTTCTACCACCAGACATCCAAGGCTTCTGTCATCCCTCATTACCCAATCTCTTTAACTTCAAAACTTCTCTATCCCCTCAATTTTTTTGAACCTTCCCTGGAGTATCTTGTTCTAACTGAAGCCTTCCTTGATGTTCTGAGGACAGCTAAGTTTTTCATAGAGCAAGAAGATCTAAGAACTGTTTAGAAAAAGAGTTTTAGGACCTAGAGGATTTTGCTGATAACAATCTTGGCTGGGTCCCTGGTCACACTTATTCCCTGCAGCCCTCTTAAGAAGTGGCCATGTCTTCCCTACATGCTACATCACACATGTCAAACACAAGGCCCGCGGGCCAAATCCGGCCCGCCAGGCCTTGCAATGTGGCCCGCACCACGCTGTCATCACTGCACTCCGCTGCGTTCCATCACAATGACGCGAGGTGACATAGGAGGCTTGTGATCTCGCCGCCGCCTCACCAGCCGCCAGTACTTGCTATCTATTATGCATGCGCATAGATAACAAGTCACGAGAGATTCAGGAGGCATGACCTATAGTCCAGCATCCGATGTGGTTGTGCAGGTGGCAGAGCAGAGGAGAGAGTGAGTGTGTGGGCATAAAAAATACACTGCAGAAGCTGCCAGTTCCTGGCATAAAGTGCAGGCATAAAAATCGCAACAGAATCTGCTATCTGTACCCAGCCAGGCATTTATTGACTGACTTTTTTTTCTCCACTCCATCTGCCAAATCAAGCTATCCCTGTGCAGTTTTCAACTTTTTCCTTCTAACGCAGATTTCCAATAAACTACATCTTTTACTGCCAATATTGATCCCAAAATGTCCAGGAAAAGAAAAGTTGACGGTGAAGGCAGACAATTTAATGACAAATGGGAAAATGAATACATGTTTGTGCTTAGAGAGGGCAAACCAGTGTGTATATTGTGTTATGAGACAGTGTCGGTGATGAAAGAGTACAATATACGTCGTCATTTTGACACCAAACATAATGTTAAGTATGGCAAATATACTTTGGAAGAAAAGCATAAAATTGTTAAAGAACTAAAAGGCAAACTACAATCACAGCAGCAAATGTTTACAAAGGCTACAGCGAAAAATGATGCTACAGTGAAAGCAAGCTTTATAGTGGCTGAAGAAATTGCCCGTACTTCAAGGTGTTTTTCAGAGGGTGTCTTTTTGAAGCAATGTATGCTAAAAGTGTGTGAGCAAGTATGCCCAGACAAGATACAGAGTTTTCAAAATGTCAGTTTGTCAAGAAACACCATTGCAGATAGAGTTCAAGAACTCTCAGGAAATCTATCATCACAGCTGGTCAAACAGGCATGCAGTTATCTCGCTTTTTCACTTGCTGTCGATGAAAGCACAGACAACACTGATACAGCGCAGCTGTCCATCTTTATACGTGCTACGAAGACCGACCTCTCTGTCACTGAGGAACTTTTGGATGTAGCTGCCATGCATGGGACGACGACTGGTAGAGATATATTTGAGGCTGTGGAGAAATCTATAATTAATTTTAAATTACCCTGGGAAAAGTTGGTGGGGCTAACTACCGATGGCGCACCTTCAATGTGCAGAGAAAAGAAAGGCTTGGTTGGACTAATGAAGGAAAGAATGCAAAAAAGTCACTGCCACACACCCTTGATTACTTATCATTGCATTATCCACCAAGAGGCTATGTGTGGAAAAGTTCTGGACACGAATGACATAATGACCACAGTCATTAAAACTATTAACTTTATACGGGCATGTGGCCTGAATCATCGCCAGTTCCAGCAGTTTTTACAGGAGGTGGGTGCAGAGCATGGAGACGTGCCATACCACACAGAAGTAAGATGGCTGAGCAAGAGCGCAGTCCTCAAAAGATTTTTTGAGCTCAGAGAACAAATTGCTCTTTTCATGGAAAGTAAATGAAAGCCCTTGCCTGAACTGTCGGATCCCGCCTGGCTATGTGATTTTGCTATGATGTGTGACATATGCGAGCATCTCGCCCAACTGAATCTGAAGCTGCAGGGACGCAAACAAGTCATCACGAAGATGTCTGACATGATCACAGCATTCCAGCGTAAACTTCAACTATGGAAGTCCCAACTGGAACAGGACAATCTTGCCCACTTTCCCGTTTGTTTGAGTATCTCAATCACTATTTCTGGTACTTTTCCTTGCAGTCGGCTGGCTACCAAAGTTAGCCGTTTACTAAGTGAATTTGAGCGGCGCTTCTCTGACTTTAGAACACAGCACTCAGACTTTGACATCTTTGCCAATCCTTTTACAGTTGATGTCAACAATGTGCCCCATCACCTTCAGATGGAGATAATCGAGCTTCAGTCTGACAGTGGCCTGAAATCAAGGTTTCAGGATGCTGAAATTGAGGACTTCTACCCTCTACTGCCCCCTGACTCAATGCCAGAGCTCCGACTTCATGCTGCCCATATTCTATCCATGTTCGGGAGCACCTATCTTTGTGAACAGATGTTTTCAATAATGAATCTGAACAAAAACAAGCACAGATCACGCATTACCGATGACAACCTCCATGCTGTTTTGCGGGTTGCTACAGCCCAAGAAATAAAACCGAACATTGACTCATTGATCCGGGGAAAACGGTGTCAGACATCTAGCCAGAAAACAAAACAATAAGCATTTTAGGTACATTCCAATATTACTGTTTTGCTTGATACCAATATTACTGTTTTGCTTTATAGCATGTGAGTTGGTTAACAGCACTGTTAAGGAAAAGATTGTTCCACTCATTTTAAATTCACATTTCTGGTTAACATTGTCAGTTTATGACTGTTCAGTAAACCATTCGGCCCGCGATTTAGGCTGGATTTTAGATTTTGGCCCCTTCTCTGATTGAGTTCGACACCCCTGTCATCCTAAACAGTCTGCAGGCGGGATGGAATGCTTCTTGCTCTTCATTGCTGCTCCTAGAAAATCCTCATTCCTACAAAATCTTAGCTTCTCTGAAAAATCTCAGCCTGTCCCAAGCTTCTGTCCTCTTCTCTTCCCTACCTATCCTCTCTCCTCAGGAGGTCTTCACCGGTCCCATAACTTTAAGTTTATATCTGCACCCCAGCTGCCCTTAAACTCTACCCTTATACTTCCACTTGCCTTCCTGATAGTTCCATGTCCATTTCTGACAGACGTGTCAAGTTCAAAACCAAAGTCTTGATTTCTGCACCTCTACCTTTACCCAAACCTCCATTGTCACTACTTCTATCTCATCTTAGTAAATGGCATCACTATTTACTTAGATGCCAGAGCCAATACCAGGAGTCAGCCTTTATTCTTTTCTTTCTCTCACAATACAGTCAATAAGCTAAATTCAATAAGCTAATTTTGTTGGGCTCCGATTAGAAATATATCCAGAACTTGACCACCATCTCTCAGTGTGGTCTAAGTCAACTGTGCCAGACTCCTGTCTCCCTGCTCGGATGTCAGCCCACTTCAGTCACTTCTCCTTACATCTGCCAGCATGCTCTCTTCGTACCTGGGCTTTCTTTTCTAAGGGTGCAAAATGCATATATCACAAGTTTACAATACAATGAATTTTGACAAAGGAATAAATTGTTAGAACCACCACCCAAACAAAATACAGATCATTTCTCTCACTTCAGAAAGTTCCTCTGTGTCCCTGTACAGTCAATTTCCTTCTCCTACAGGCACCCCATTTTGATTTCTATCACAGAGATTAATTTTCCCTACTCTAGAAAATCATATGAAATTGTCTATTCTTTTGTATTGGCTTAATTTACTTAATATTATATTTTGACATCAGTTTCTTAACTGATGCTAATTGTTTAAACTTCTCTTCAGTATTTTTGGAGAAGACTTTTGTTTCCTTCCTCTGATGTTAAAGCATAGGACTTGAAATGTGAGGATCCCAGGAACTGCAACAGAGGTGTTTGCTGTTCTGAGAAAGGTTAACCAGAAGGAAAAGATAACAGAGCAAAGAGGATAGAGGCCAAGGAGCCAGAGCCCTAGTGATACTGCAAACTTTGGGGTCAAACTGCAGCTTGAAATTAGAATATTAATGGATTATTTTCACTTTCATGTGCCAATAGATTCTCTCGTTTTCTTTTATTTTTTTAATCCTCACCTGAGGATACTTTTTCTATTGATACTTTTTGAGAGAGTGGAAGGGAGAGGAGGGGAAATGGAAGAGAGAGCAAGAGAGAGAGAGAGAGAGAGATCAACGTGAGAGAGACACATCAATTGGTTGCCTCCCGCTAGAGCCCAACTGGGTCAAGGATTGAACCTGCAATTGAGGTATGTGACCTTGACCAGG